GCCTTCGTCTCTTCCACCGTTAATTGACGTGTTTATAAATACCGCCTTACTCTATGTGGCGGTTGATGCATGAATCGTCGGACTGCATGGCCTCAAGAGATTCTCGGCCATTTTTGGAGGGGCAAACACAAACGATGCGCGTTTTAGCCTATACAAAGGTGTTTCCTGTGTCGAGGGAATGCATAGCCACTTCGGACAAGTGGTCAGGTCTCTCCACTGCCAATTGGTGCTCGTGGAGACGGATATTCCTGTTTGGCCACAATATAAAGTATCACAACCTCCGCATGGGATTTTGTATATGACTTCTTTCTTATTGAGGTAGCCAACACTATCCTTAGGGTCTACTAACTGGGTGCGTAAAGTAGCCATCGGTTTGTGCACCACTTTTATTAGGTGTTTCCGCAAGTGCCATCAACGAGTTCAAACACATTGCTTATATAAGGGAGAATTCGCCATATACTTGTTTTGGGTGCTTGAATGGAACTATCTCGCCCATCTCAAGATCGCGACACGACCGCTAGTCTAGACATTAGCCGCGTGATTGGCTGCCATAACAAAACATGGGCCAGCGTTCCGGCGATTCCCAACGCTCTCGTCACTCCGGAATTGACGCCCTCGCAGCCGGACTGCGGCCACCCGAGAGTCAAAAACTCTTTCCATGCATTATCCTATCCTTCTGTGCAGAATACACTATTCCTAACACTCTGGCCTTGCCAGCGTCTTCTCCATTCTCGCCTGAGGGACCATGGTCTGAAGAACGCAGTCGCTAGGGTTTAACTCACTTAACTCCCTGCGATAGTCCCTCCTATAGGTTGCTGGGAACAGAGCACACAACCGCCACCTCCAGCCAGAACGATGGTGCTGCAGAATACGAACCAGTTCTCCTTTCAATTCCTGCCATGATATCTTAATGCGAAGCCCCATAACGACCCAAACAGACACACACACATGTTGCATTTTCCACATAAAATAGCTGTGCTCAGAGTTAGAACTCAAGTGCGAATAGCGCCAGCAGTCAATCCAGGTCGTGCAGCTCTGCCGAGAACAAATAACTTCAACTTCCACTAACAGGACAGCTCACAATGCGTGTAAGAGAACCGACCAATTTAACAAAAAAAGGTCTCGTCCACGCGCGCCACAAATCCCGAGATGACAGTTCAACCGTCGATTATGTCCGCTGCATGCTTCAGCCAGCTAAGACCAACGCGGTGAACGTGTGAATTAGTTTTAAGTGATAATAGACTTGCCTCGCATTTAACGCACTCTCGCTTACCTGACCCCGGTGTCAAAACAGAGTCAAAAAAACCGGAGGCGGGATCGGGCGCAGGTGGTTGGTTCGGCCGATGCGCGCCGCCACACCTGGCTGGGATCCCGGCTTTGT